TGAAGAAAAGAAGGCTTCAACTCCATGAGAGTTGTAAGTGGGCGATCTTGGGGTGAGTAATAAAACCCAAACCCTAAACCCTAATCCCGAAAGCCTAACCTGGTATTTCGCATGGCTTCCCCCCACCTTTTTGAAGCCCTCATCCAGGCAAGATGCAGGCCATCCGCCGGTTTCGGCAGCACAGGCCCCCCCTCGAAACTAAAAATGGGAGACCCCCTAAACCCTAATCCCTAAAACCTAAAACCTAAACCCTAAACTTTAAACCCTAAACCCTAAACCCTAAACCCTAAACCCTAAACCCTAAACCCTAAACCCTAAACCCTAAACCCTAAACCCTAAACCCTAAACCCTAAACCCTAAACCCTAAACCCTAAACCCTAACACTAAACCCTAAACCCTAAACCCTAAACCCTAAACCCTAAACCCTAAACCCTAAACCCTAAACCCTAAACCCTAAACCCTAAACCCTAAACCCTAAACCCTAAACCCTAAACCCTAAACCCTAAACCCCAACACCTCAACCCTAAACCCTAAACCCAAAAACCCTCAACCAAGTTTAGGGTTGAGGGCCCCGTCTCGGCTCGCGCACGGAAGATTGAGGTTTCGGTTCCTTGGCACTATTCTGGCTTAGGGTTTCCTTAAGCCTCTCAGGGCTCTTGCAGTGTCTTGGGGTTTAGGGTTTAGGGATTAGGGTTTAGGGTTTAGGGTTCGGGGTTGGGGTTTAGGGTTTGGAAAGTTCCATGGTCCCTAATATGGTTCCGGAGCTTCTCTAAGGGACCTGAAGGTTTCATCGGTTTCATTAGGGTATATGGGGGGTATAATACGGCTTCCCCAAAAATGGGCCCATATTCAGGGCCCATGTAACTACCCTTAGATTCTCAGAGTTCATGTTTTTGTTGGATATTATGTTTGGCCTTCTGTAGGTGGGCATCAGTAAACTCAGACCCCGAAGGCCCAACCGCACCCCACCATTAAACCCTAATCCCCTTAACCCCTGAACCCCACAACCCTAAGCCTACAGCCCAAATTTAAATGCCCTAAAGCCCTAAAGCCCTAGAACCCTAAAACCTTCTAAAACACTACACCCTCCACTCGAAGCCCCGCAAAACCTTAAACTTAAACAAGCACCGCCGGCGGGCACAGGCACGCCTGGCACAAAATTCTTGGGCATGGGCATGCCTCATCGTTTCGTGGGTGCACGGACAAGAGTTCGAGGGCGCGGGGGCACAGGTGCAAAAACTCACGGGCACAGGCACACAAATTTCGCGGGACGGTAAAAAAAGTCGTGGGTGCAGGCACGCCCCTTCGTATTTCGTGGGCACAAGCCATAGGCACGACCCTTCGTGGGCACAGGCACGCCCCTTCGTGGGCAAAGGCACGCCCGTTCGTGGGTACAGGCCCGCCCGCTCGGCCGTGGGCACAAAAATTCGTGGGCGTGGGCACGGGAACAACAAAACTTTCAGGCACAGTGCCGTTCAAGGGTGGGGTGGGGAGGGATGTGGGACTCTGTTTGTTGAGCTGCTGGGACTGACTAAGTTTTCGAGCCATCTGGTTGCCGTTTGAGAGTTAACTCGAAGCGAAAAGATGAGGATTGGGTGAACATAGAGAGTGAAAAACCCTACACCCTAAACCTTTACCCTAAACCACGATGGCAGGCGCTGGCCTCAGATGCTGCGACAAAAAACCTTCCGCCTGGGCCACACGAGTGCGAAAACGGCTCACAAAAGACTTGCCCGCCTTCATTCGCCTGTTCAAACTGTACCACATTTTTTCAGTTGCTTGACAGCTTTCCGAACCCCGCATGTGGATGCCCCTCTGTGGCGCCGAAATGAGCAGCGGCGTTGTTTTTTGCGGCAGGCTACTTCAGATTTCCGTCGAGCCGCGCAACCTTGCGCACTCCGCACAAAGTCGACCTCTCCACGTTCAAAGTCTAGTCGATTCGACAGTTTTTGAGCTACTTCTGGTTTTCTAATTTTTTGCAGCACTCGCATGCCGCGCAACGGCACGCAGACTACCCTTCATTGAACGTAAGAAGGCACTTCCAACTGCCACCTCGGGCGCGTGGGGGCCCCTGACTGCTGACTCACTTTGGAAGGCTCTTCAGATTTTGGAGTTCAGGGCCTGAGGGTATGTGGGTCAGGGCTAAGGGTGGGGCGGTTGTAGAGATTTTGGGGTTCGGGCTTTTGGGTTTAGGCATCAGAGTTTTGTTACGTTTTTGGGATTCAGGTTTACAGATTTTTCAGGTGGCCCTACGGGCCTGAAGGTTGTTTTTAGGGTTTTGTTGTGTTTGGTGTTTGCGGTTTTAGGGGTCTGACCGCTGTGCTTTAGGATCCTGCACCCTAAACCCTAAACCCTAAACCCTAAACCCTAAACCCTAAACCCTAAACCCTAAACCCTAAACCCTAAACCCTAAACCCTAAACCCTAAAGTTTGTTTTTTGTTTGGGGGGAATCCTTGGGTGCCTTTTGGGTGCCTTTTTGCGGTGGGGAGCTGGGGTGTTTAGTGTTTCGGTCCAATTTCGACGGGCCTGCAGTTGACCTTGTACTTACCGTTGGTTCAATGTTCTCCCCTCTTGGTGGTTTGCGATGTAGGGTAACCCTAAGCCCTGAAACCGGTCACTCTAAACCCTTCGGTTTTAGGGTTTCGGGCTTAGGGCTTGGGGCTCGGGCTTCGGGTTGCGGGTTTGGGGAATTTCGAATTGAGAATTCCGGGTTAAGGCTGCGATTCTCCGTGGGCCTGGGGCTTAGGGAAGCTCGTCCCCTGCAGTCCAAAGGACTCCCAAGCATCCATCCACTCTCCCAGATCCTTTCATGTCATGCATCAGAATGGATGCTGTATGAGGCTCGAAAACTTCTTGAAGGGCACAGTCCCCGTCTGCTGGATTAGCCGTGGTCTTTATAACGTTTAGGGTTTGGGGTTCCGTCCGAGGATACGGACGTATTTCGCTAGAATCGCATTCTGCAGGGGTCATGACCGGATGTAGTTTTAGTTGTTGAGGCTCTTGCGTTAGGGCCGAGGTGTAAAGGTCCAAAGGCCTTGGTCGTGTTGGGGCTTCGGGTTCAGCGTAAACCCGTAACCATGCACAGAAGCCATTGCATCTGACCAAGGCCTGGGACAGTATCATCGGAATACCTAGGCCAGCCGTCGCTGCATTCACTGCCAGGAACTGTGAGCCCTACACCCTGAACCGTAAACCCTAAACTCCAAACCCTAAACCCTTAATCCCTAAGAAGCTCTTGCTTTGCTTCGGCTCTCACTCTGATCTTTCATTTTGGGATCCTCCTGGTCGTAAGGCCTCAGGTGTAGGGTTTTTGGGTGTAGAGTTTAGGCTTAGGATTTATTGTCCTGGGTGTAGAGTTTAGGCTTTAGGCTTTAGGGTGCAGAGTTTAGGTTCCAACTAGGTTTTAGGGATCCAAGCGAATCTACAAAGAAGCCCGCGTCAGGGGTAATGGGGTTGTTGGTGGGTTGGGGGTTGGGGTTGAAGATGTCCAGTACGACACAGAAGCATTGAAAGAGCAAACAAACAAAGAAAGCAAGCAAAAGCAATGGTCACTCGCTGAGCCATCATTCCTTTTTGTCAGGTGTTCCCCGATGAGCCCGATTAAACCCCCCAAAAAAGCGTACACTTCCTGTTGGTTCTAGGGGGACCTAGTGTGCCTAAACCCTGAACCCTGAACCCTGAACCCCAAACTCTAAACCCTAAGAAGCCCTAAACCCTGAACCCTAAACTCGATTCCGCAGGAGCCCCGGCCCGCAACCCGACATACCTCCTGGTCGGGTCACTAAGATTGGGTGTCTTCTTCGACAGCCTAGGGTTTAGGGTTTAGGGGTTAATCTACAGGGTCTGCATCATAAACGTGTCCCGGGAACGCCAGAACTCTAGGAACCCGAAGGCCGAAACCCTAACACCTAAACCCCTAACCCCCTAAGCCCCTAACCCCCAACCCCTAGAAACCGTAAACACCTAAGCCTGAACTTCTAGAACCCCTAAACACCTGACCCTGAACCCCTAAACCCAAAACCCTAAACCCTAAACCCTAAACTCCCCCTGAGCTACCCCAAACTAACCCAAACCCTAAACCCTAAACCCTCAACCCTTAACCCTAAACACCCTTTACCCCTAAACAGGTATGCTGACGGCAGCTGTGTCGCAGGCAGTCCGGTGCCCAGTTCGGGGGGCCAAGGGCCCTTTGCGGCCCGGATGCGCTATGTTTGCGTGAGGATAGCAAGCCCAGGGTTTAGGGTTTAGGGTTTAGGGTTTAGGGTTTAGGGTTCAGGGTTCAGGGTTTAGGGTTTAGGGTTTAGGGTTTAGTGTTGAGGGTTGAGGGTTGAGAGTTGAAGGGTTCAGGGTTTAGGGTTTCAGGGTTCAGGGTTTAGGGTTTTAGGGTCTAGGGGAAAATCTCAAAAACAAGAATGTAGACGAGTGTAGGATGCGGGTTGGCATCCAGCATGATAGGATTTAACCCTAAACCCTAAACCCTAAACCCTAAACCCTAAACCCTAAACCCTAAACCCTAAAGCCTCTCCACGCCATGATAGGGCTTAGACGTTAGACAGGGAGTCTCCTCTCCACGCCATGATAGGGCTTAGACGTTAGACAGGGAGTCTGCAAATAAATGACGTGTTGGAAATACTTAGCCTCCCTCGAATAACAAAGGGGTGACACTTCTGCTCAGAGGAAACATAACTGCTCATTTGGGGGTTTACGATATTGGGGATGCCTTACTGGGGTCCTTATGAATTAGAAAGGAATCCTAATATTTGGGAGTCTATTTTGGGGTTCCCCTAGTTTCGTAACCCCCCCATTTTGTTCTGTTGGTCAATGGCGGTTTGTAAACATCTTGGTTTTATTGGGGCAGAAGGGGCCCGCGCATGCCCTTAAAGTCTTTCGACTGTTTTGCCGAATCCCTATGGCCCTCTGGAGAACCAATGAGTAAAGCGGTGCACCGCAAGTTGCGCAGGTGGGCATTTCCCCGCCTGGCGTCCACACCGTGCCGGCAATGCAGGTGTCATGGCCGGTTTGTCGGTTCTGTAGACAGCTGGGAGATGTTTTTTGTTCATGCGCTTGTGGCACCTGCTACAGAACATGCACTAGATTACACCCATCCACGCTGAAACTTTGGATGGCTGGCAGGCGCAGCAAGCGCCACCGGGCATCCTGCAGCAAGCTCGGCACTTCACAGTAGCAGACACTCCCCGTGAATTATCTCTTCAATTTGAGACTTGAGAATCCCCGAGGCACCATCCAGCGCAGGCACATGTCGTGCAGGGGAATGCGGCCCACGCGGCCCACGCCGCCCATGCGGCCCATGCGGCCCACGCGGCCCACGCGGCCCACGCGGCTCACGCGGCCCATGCAGCCCATGCGGCCCACGTGGCCCATGTGGCCCATGCCTATGGACATCCAGCCCCTCAGCATCACGTCCAGGCCATGCTGCTTGAGAGTTGTGGGGAGACCATGGAAAGACCCATGCGTGCCCCCCGGTTCTTGATGCCAGGCCATGCCAGCGATGCATGCACTGCCTGGGCATCGTTCGCAGATTTCTTGTCGGACTCGCGGATTTTGAAGTGGGATCTTCCTGCAGACACCAAGGCATCCTCCGCACTACCCTGCTCCGGTTGCGAACGGGATGCATCCGATGCATGCTCACATGGTGCCTGCAGCTCAAGCTCTTCAGCTGTTTTGGGAGCGTCATCAGAATGTTCGCGGATTTCTTCCCGAGGCCAAATGGGCACTATCCCATGTACGCGCCGCATCCTCATCATCCTGGCTACTACGTGCGAGCAGCTTAGTGCATCAGAGCTTCATGTAGCAGACTCACTCAAAGTTGGGCCTGTCAGCTGTGCTCATGCATTGGGGATGAGGCCAGTGTACCCGGGCCATCCGCACCACACTTGGATCAGGGCTCAAAGTGATCGTGCCTGCTGTTGAGACATACTTAGCTTCGTAGATTGCTTCATTTAAATCCTTAAGCCTTAAATCGCCTGGAAGCAAGGCAAGACAAGGCATGAAAGTTGTGACTTCACCTACCATAATAAAGACACGGCTTTCTTTGCAGTATGACGCCTTCTTGTAGCATCTGAACCCTGAACCCAGAACCCAGAACCCTAAGCCCTAAACCCTAAACCCTAAACCCCGTCTTTTTCATCCTCTGCGGGGGGGGGGGGGGGGGGGATCTCCGAGGCCTGGCTACCCGCCCCACTATCCGGGATATCCTCCGCCTGCCCGGGTGCCCCGTGGCCTGTCACCGCGCCTCGTGAACATGCAGTGAGGTGTAGAATCGGGGTTTTGGTATATATCGATATTCATGACAAGAATAACAGTAATCAACCTGAACCTCACACCATCATCATCATCATCATCATCATCATCATCATCATCATCAGCATCATCATCATCATCATCATCATCATCATCATCATCATCAGCATCATCATCATCATCATCATCATCATCATCATCATCATATACCATTGACCCAAAACCACAATGGAACAGGCGCATATCCCTTGGGTGACGGCTCCATGGTGACTTGCAACGCGCCAGGATCGCCGGGACAAAGATAGCGACGAGGACCGCGGCATTCCTAAAGAACCCTTGCAGGTGTAGGTTTGAACATGAACTCTTGATTTTTGTTACCCTTAGTCCCTATATAATCTTCGTACCCTCAATCCCTATATAATCCTTGTAAAGCCATAAAAAATTAGTTTCTACAGGGACCCCAAACCTACCCCAGCTTAGCCTCAAAGCCCGACTGCCTCTTGTAGAAGCGAGATGAGACTATCGTCAAGGCTCTTTGACCCTTGCACAACCTCCGCCTGGTGGCACCCGACTGCCCCAAGGCCCTTGCCCTAAACCTTAAACCTGCGACCTAAATTGATTGATGGACCTAGGGCTGGCTGGTTGAACTGCATACCAGCTGGGTTTTGCAAAAAAAGAAGCATCATCTGTTGAGGTTTGTCCGGGACGCTGAAGCGCTGTAGCAACAGTGAGCCCCCTCTCTCCCCCTCCTCCAGTTGATGAAATCATCCGGCAGCCGGGATCTTGTTCGGAAAGCGGAAGCAGCCTGCAGGACCGGAAGAAGAAGGAGCGAGAGGAGCACGACGGGCGGCCAATAGGATTTCTTATGACAGGGGTTGGTTATATAGTATATTGTGTAATCAGTTCTGTGGGCCCGAAACCCTAAACCCTCAATCCTAGTTCCGTTATTAAGCCCTACTGACCTATCGAAATTCCATTCTCATAGGGTCCCAATCCTCCCCTGATGACTCCTGTAATTACCAAATACAGCTCCAACAAATTCAAGCCTCTTATTTGACTAGCGTTCTAAATCAGGTTCTCTCTTTTTTTTGACCCCAATTTACTACAGCACCTAGTACAAAAAGGCACCAGAGAAAAAACCCCTAAGTTAGAGAGCTACCTTGGTTCGCGGCTGTTTGAGCGCGCAGGGTTTCAAATGACGCAGAGAGAGCCAGCCACATCAGCCCTTAAGTCTTCGAAGTGGGTTATAGGTAGACTTACAATTGGGGTTATGACGGTTATGAGTACCCATGAACCTCCAAGAAATCCGAAGACCATCGTTCAGTTTCATCTCCCCTCCACGCCTCGGAAGTTTTGTGATCTATGCGTTTAGGGCTCAGGGTTTAGGGTTTACACTGAAACTAATTAAACCTGAAACTTTCAAAAATGAAACTTAAAACCCAAAACCCCAAATCACCTTCGCACTGTAGCTGCATGGTCGTCATTCAAGGACTCAGGCCCGTATGTGGTGGGTTGTACATGAGTTCGAAGTTGATGTTTAGGGTTTAGGGTTGGGGCATGGGGCTTTGGGTTGAGGGTGTTCTGGGTTTTGGGCGTGGGGGCTGCCCCAAGCCTCAAGGTGTGAGGATGGCTTTGGTAGCGGATCTGCTTCCAGAATGCCATCCGCAAAAGTCCGCGACGGGGGTTGGCGAAAGTAGGCGTCCCTGTGAGGAGCCCCCTCCGCCGGCAAAGTTCGACGATGATCATTGGGAGGTGCCCTAAGGGCTCAAGTTGTTTCGCATGTCTTGGGTTTGTGGGTTGAAATTGTTTTAGGGGTTAAGGTTCAGGGTCTGTAAGGGGCTTCAGGGTTTGGAGCTTGAGGCTTGCGAAGCCGCACTGTAGTTGCTTCCGGTGTGAAGCTGTTCAGCTATGTCTTGCTGAAAAGCTGCTCGCAAGATACTTTTGTAGACACGCGATGCTGCAAAGCCGTCGTGAAAATCCAGTACAGAGAACAACAGGCAGCTCTTCACCAGGCCCCGATTTCACAATCCAAAATTGTGACATGTTGTGCTTCACAGCAGTTACTTGATAGACGAAGGTGTTTATGGCGGGCTGAGACTTGTGTTCCACCTGGTCACGCAAAGAAAGCAGCAACGAGTGCGTGGCGATGAGGGTTCAGGGTGCGAAGTGGGTCCCCCCCCCCCGCGCCATCTCTGAGGCGTTGGTAAGAATTTGGGTCCCTTTACACATGAACCGTTTGGCCCACAAAAGGGTCACCACAGGAACCCCCAAGATCTACTGTAGGGGTCGGAAAACTCACTAGTACTATTCCCTTAGGGTCCCTCTTCAATTAAACTATGATAACCCCCAAACCCCTATTCTAATTCTTCAGGCCCCTAGAATGCTTCGTCCACCAGTTGCAGGAGCCTCGATCTCGGACAAAGCTGAAGCTCCTGGGCGAGGACTGCGGTGAAGAAAAGTGGCTGGCCTCAGCAGATAGGGGTTTGCGAAAGTCGGGGACCCCTAAAATAGACCCCAAATAGTAGGATTCCCTGATGATAAGGACCCCAAAACGGGTACCCCCATATTCGTAAACCCCCAGATTCTTCACAACCGCAGCAGGGCCACAACGTTGAGGATCTGAACACCAGGGACACGGGAGTCATTCACCAGGGCTCATGACATACCTTCGTGGAAGCACTCTGCATGTTGCTTTCTAGCATCTTTACAGCTATGCAATTGACCGGCTCTTGACACTGAGTCGCAAGCTTTGGAGCTACCCGATGTCGGACGAGAACCGGCGCTGCTTCGCAGGGTGACAGGGGGGGGGATCCGGATGCCTAAACCTCAAACCCTCAACCCTCAACCCTGAACCCTGAACCCTAAACCCTAAACCCTAAACCCTAAACCCTAAACCCTAAGCTCTTTTCATCCGAGCAGAGACATTCAAACACTCTATTGTGTTCTTGGCATGAGGTGTTGAGCTGCGACAGGTACATACCTCGACTGTTGAAAGAGGATCTGTGTGACAGCTTCTTCAAGAAGATCCGGGACACAAGAAATGAATGCATCAGGGGAGTGGCTGCAGGTGCCATTTTCAGTTCAGGACACGTAAATTGAGAGAGTCCTAGAGGTTTTAAGCTCACTTTAGAGTTTAGGTTTAGGGAGGCATCTAGTCCATAGAGGCCACTGTTGCAACATCGCCTTCTAGCAGATTTCGCACTGCGGGACATCGGATTTTTCTGACCTCGCAATATCTTCCCTTACCTGGGTCCTTTCTCGCTTCAAGGTTCAACTCTGCAGGAAGCCTGGTCGCTCCGAAAGATATTTCAAGAAACCCGACGACAATCCCAGAACAGCCCGGTTCAGTGAGCGCAAATATGCGCCCGTAAAGCCTATTTGTAACAGGTCTGCAACAATTTTGCAATCAACAGCTACAAGATATTGGCGTTCTCGCGCACCAACATCTTGTTTCTGAAGGAAGGGCTTCTGGTTTTTAGGCTACCTCAATCATGGGGTTAGGGCTTGGGTACCGCAATCTCAAGCCTGCCCCCAACCTGCATCTCAAACCCGCCTGAACCCTGAAAACCAAAGCTGGTCTTTTCTTCGGCAGGATTCGGTGGACTGGCAACAGCCGGAGGGTCCGCTGGGTCCCACCCTCGGCGGCGCCAATTTGCTTCTCAGGAGTACACCTATTTATACCCTCAACAGGGACATGTACCTTACTGTCTGTTCTCTACGTTTTGTAAGGTACAAAATTACGTACCCTGCGTAGGCCGTGGGCTAGGGCCCTGGAGTCAAGTACCTTGTATCCCCTTCCACCCTAAATAGGGGTTACTTACGGTACCTAACTCCCCAATTCCTTACTAAGAACCACGACGTTCCGCCCGAATCCTCAGCCCCTGGCCCCAGGGCGGCCTGTTCTTGCTCGGCTTGTTTACTGCTATTTGCTTTAGAACCCCAAAAGAATAAAAAATGATAATCCCTATATTACCCTTATAAGGAAGATTGTTTTAATATACTATTTTTTTGGGGGGGGTTCTAAGCAACTAATTACTGGTTTAGGGTGGCCCATGCAAGGTCAGATTCCTCGAAAGACATGCTGGATGGTCAAAGCTGGCTGCGAGTGCAAGTGCCCTTGCTGCGCAAGACCATCCAAAGCCTTCCACGGTCCACGAGTTGAAACTCATGCCTTTTGGGGGGTTTCCTGAAAAATAAAACTCACGCTTAGCCTTTTGGAGAAGGTAGAGAAGGTTCGTGTAGACTCTGTAGACTTTACTTTTTGGGGAAGGCTTGAAGATTCTGACCCCCGACCCTGCAAGCCATCCTAGACACATCGTAGCCTCAGAGGCTAACCCTAACCTATATGCCAAAATCCTAAATTCCAGACCCCGGAAACGGGGCTGCTTGAAATCACGGTCCGCTTCTAGGAATCCCTGATGAGAGAAGGAGCCTCCAGCAGGGTTTGGGGTTGGGAGTTCATTCTGCCCTAAGCTCCTAGACATAAACCTAAACCCAGAACCCTGAACCCTGCCCTCGTCATGGGAACGCAGAACCTTCCTGAGGTACAGATATGGAGGGATCGAAGTGGAGGCTCAGCAGTTTCCTGCCTGGATGCTTCGGCCCCAGCATTTTTGGCCCTTGGCATCTGGGCAGTTCTCTAAATTCGGGGTCCCTTTTGGAGGTCCTTCTCTTACGGGTGCCCTGCTAGATGGTCAGTTCTCAAAATCATGGTCCCACTTGGGGGTACCCTACACAAAATTGGCCACCTTCTCATACAAGGGGCCATGCTTTGGAGAAGTGACCATATATATTTATGGTATATATATATATATGTGTGGTATATATATATATGGTATATATATATATACATATATGGTATATATATATATGGTATATATATATATATATGTATATGCTATATATATACATATATGGTATATACATATATATGTATATGATATGTATATATATATATGGTATATATATATATATATATATATATATGTATGGTAGATATATATATATATGGTATATATATATGGTGTATATATATATATATAGGGCCCAAATCAAATGGTCTATTTATTATTCTCCTTCTTGGTGGGTGGTACTTTGGGTTTGGGGTTTGGGTTTTAGGCATCTGAGGGTCTAGGTCTAGGGTTTGGGGTTTGGGGTTTGGAGTTTAGCGTTTGGGGCTTAGGGTTTGGTTCTTTGGGTTTAGGGTTCCTTGGAGCACATAATGCATTTTATGTTTTGTTTTTTTTTTTTTTTTGGGGGGGGGGGGGGGGCTGTTGGGGGTGTGGATCCCTGAAGCCGCCCGAAACGCTAAACCCGAAACCTAAACCCTAAACCCTGAAAGCCACAAGAAGTCCCAAACCTCGACATGAGGAACGAGCTTATGGAGCTCGTCCTCAAGCCTTGTGGTCTCTCACCAAGCAACTGGCGGGAGACTGAGCCACCAGGGCGGATGGGTTTGAGCCCTTATGGTTTCAGTTCTGTCAACTTCGGCCCATTTTGGAGGTTGCGGTTTCAACGACCGAAACCCTGAACCCTAAACCCGAAACCCTAAACCCTGAGCCCGATTTGGGGTGCCAAAAAGGCGACCAGGCACAGGGGTTCGCAGAGTTGAGGAGGGATCGTAAGGTGCAGGGAGGGCTTCGGCTGACGCAGAAAGTTTCAGGGCTGGGTCTTCGCAGGTGAAACTCGATGTCTCAAGTTTGCATCGGCCCGAATCCTAGGATTGCGGGGGGACCCTTAAAAGGGAACCCTTCTCAACGCTCTTCTGGCTCTCTTCAACAGGGACCTTATTGAGAGGGTCTGTACCCCACAAGGGTCCCCCTAGTCCTATCCCCTACCAAACAGGAGACTCAAGGCATCAAGTCCGAAGTGCTTCGCCTAGGTTGCGTAGGCTACTTAAAACCGCAAGTCACACATAGGATAGCAAAACGCAACGTCCTTCGCTGGCATTTCTTGGACAGTGGGTAATCCACACAAGTGCTCGATTGCTTTTAGTCTCCCGGCTTGAAATCGATTTTAACCTCAGGGTCAAAGGTGCGAATTGACCAACAACTCTGCCTGAACACAACAACATCCTGAACCCGATCTTAGTTCGAGGTTGAAATCAAATATCAGTAATACCCACGAGCAGAGTCCACGGACGTGGGGCCATCACATCGTTCAGGCCCAACTCCTGCAACCTCAATCTCTACGAGGAGATCATGGGCGTTTTGGGTTTCGAGCTTGGGGCCTGCTTGCA